ATCGCAGCACTGGAATAATGCTTCCTGTTTCTTAAAGTAACTCTCTGCGCTACAGCGTTCGGCATGGCTGTGAAACTTACTGCTCGCTTTTGCTTCACGGCATTCTCGCAGATTACTTGCCTGTTTCTTGACTTACCGCAAACTACAACACTATCTCTCCTGGCACTTACACATTCGTCAACAACTAGACTGCACCCTCGGCCTTCGGTCTGAGCAGAGGGGAGTGATGTGGCAAGTGTTTTAAATTGATTCCAAATTAAAAAAAAAACATTATTTTCGTAAAAACCTATGAATGGAACAATTTGAATAACTGACGTTGACAAATTGCTTTTTAACGGAGAAACATGGTGTTTTAGGGAAGTGCTGTTATATTCTCGTTTACATTTCATGCGCAAACCAATCACCAATTCTTTTTAATTTAAACAACGCTTACAGAAATTAGATTAAAATAGAAAACTATTAAAAAAATTAAAAAGAAATAAAGAAATAGAACGAGATAGTTTCGAATATGTATCAGTTGTATTTGAGGTAGAGGGCAGGAAATTTAAAAGATTAATGATATTGACGGTCGATCCTAAAACCCGTTTTCGTTTGAGCAGTTTAAAAGAAGGCGCAGAGAACTAGCTAAGAGAAATCATCCCACAAGTTGTAATTCTTCCTGTGGTAATTCTTCCTGTACTGGCAAAGAAAGCCTGTTGCGGAGAGGTTGCCCTGACAAGGATCCGACAAGGATATCATTTTTTATTTGATATAATTACACACATAGCTACATTGAATGTATTAAAACTAAGTAAATTTTATGGAAATAGATATAAACATTCAGAGCGTGCCAAGTGTGATTCCTAGATTAAATCATAAAATATTGGGGTATATAAAAACCGGATTACTAACCTGTTTTATTAAGGATTTTCATTTTCATTTTCATTCTGTGAATAAATTTACAAATTTCGACTATAGAAGTTTGCGGTTTGAATTTTAAAACATTAAAACTTAAAAAATTGAGAATATATCAAGGAAACTTAATATTGCTTCAGCTTTAAACAATTACTCTCTACGTATGTTTATTCATTGATATGTAATTATAAAAACATATAACGAAAAATTACCATTTAATTTGATTTTTTTTAAAGTTATGAATGCCGCTTTTTATTTATTTAAAAGTATAAATTGTATCTTTTCATTTGAGATTTGAACTTATTTATTGCCTCCTTATTTTGTTAGTGATTTTACAGCGAAATGCCACTGTTAAGATGAGTTTATTGTTCGACCTAGCAAATGTTTCGTAAATCTTCAAAAAAAACAAAAATCGAAAGCGTATTGCTAGTTCTACGGCTCAACTAGAAATAGGTGAAAATAAAATTGGTTATAAATATTTTAATTTAGGTCCAAGGGATAATAAAGATGTGACGGGATAATTAAAGTATCGGAACAAAGGAATGAAAATAATAGCTGCCCTTAGATAGATGGAATTTTCAGAATTAAAATGAATAATGAATAAAATTTTTGAGACTCTTACACTCAGATGTTATAATGAGCTGCCATTAAAATATTGTAAATTATAAGGAGTAATGATTATAAAATATATTTTTAATTTCAAATACTTTCTTTTTAGAGTTCCGTAGTTACACAACAAGGAACGCTTATAGTTTTGTCCGTCCGTCCGTTCGTCCGTCCACCCGCGGTTTTTTTCAGAGACCTTAAGTGCTACAAATCTATTATTTGACTTAGTTTTAGATATTCATCACGTTTAGAAAACGATGAAAGAACAATTTTAAAAACATTATTTTGGATACTTTCTACACAAGTAAATTGAGGATGATTTTTTTAGCCGTCTATTCCATCATGTGGGGTATCTTTGGATAGGTCTTTTTTTTTTTTATAGGAGAGGGGGCAAACGAGCATGCGGCTCACCTGATGGTAAGTGACTACCGCCGCCCATGAACAACCGCAACACCAGGGGAATTGCAGATGCGTTGCCGGCCTTTTATTTTGCCTTCGCTGATGGTAATCGATTCCACAAGGAAGTCGTGCGAGGAAGAAAACATCTTCTAAATCGCACAGTGGTGGACCGCCAATCATCCAGATGATGTGGATGGTATCGGGAGTTCTGCCGCAATGTGCGTTCATGAAATTTGGCGGCTGGGATTAATCCGAACAATTCCTCAGAGCACTCCCCATGGTAGATGCGATAGAAAATGCAAAGAGATGCAACATCTCTTCGCAGTGCCAATGAATCGAGCCGATCGGAAAGGGCTCGGTCGTCGACGATTCGAGCTGCTCTGCGCTGGATGCGGTCAAGTGGAAGGAGCTGGCACTGGGGAGCCCCTGCCCAGAGATGGGAACAGTATTCCATGTGAGGCCGAACCTGCGCCTTGTAAAGTTGCAGACAGTGTGCCAGCAGGGGTGCGAAGTCAGAAGTCCTCCACGTGTGCCTGGTAGTTGCGGGTCCCTCTCGATACGTCTGGAGGGAAGAGCAGATACTGGGCCGGTGCACCCTGGGCGCAGCAGTAGTCTTCCTCGAGAAATGAGAAGAAATTCTTACTCCTTGGGGAATGGTACTGCCGCGGCTAATTATTCTGACATGGGGGGGGGGGTCCGTCCCGGACCAACGGTGCGTTCCACTGCGTGACCCTCTGATCAGCAGAGGGCATAGCAGAGGAGTGAGGGCGGGCTCGGTGTGCACTTACCCTGCCTCCGGGCAGACAGTGAAGGATTCATCCTTTGCTGTCACCGCCGGTCTCGTAATCCCAGTATCGAAGTGTCGTGGATCACGTCTCGCGGCTTTGATAGGGACCGAGGGTCTTGGCTTAACCGCCCGGACCGCGAGGGAGAAAACCTCTATAAAAAGTTACCCCGAATCTCAAGCGGCGACGCACCGCGAGGGGATGGATGGCTGACGGGGTTCTATGAACAAATCAGTCGTTAGTGCGCTCCTCGCCAGGGTACCTGCAGACCCCCTGGCGAGTAATAAATCCTCTAAATCTGCTTACCTTGGTAAGGGGTCTCTGCCAAGGTGGACTTTTAATTCCCCCATACTCGTGGGTACAAAAAATGGAAACCAAACAAAAAACACAAAAAACCAAAACCGCCGGCAACGGCAACGAGGAGAGGAGGAACGATGCGGGGACAGAGTCCGACGCCGCATCGAGCAGCGAGGGAGGCTCAGAGAGCTCCCGACAAGTGGAGCCTGGGACCGCGGAGACCAGCAAGTTCTTCCGCAAGCGGTCCAGGCGGGATGGCGACCAGGGGTCGGCATCCGGTGAAGAGGAGGTTTCGGCCCGGAAAATCCCCACCAACAGGCGGGGCGGGCTGAGAGGCAAGGGGAGAGAGCTCTCTACCATTCAGAGGGCCGAACGAGCGGCAAAGCTTGCCGAGGAGGGGCGCCACCCGGACGACACGGTTCGGGAATCAGGCGAAGAAACAGACGCGACTGGCGGCTCCGAGGTGGAGCGTAAGGCCAGATTCGTAAAGGAGGTGGAGGCCGCGATCAAGGTCGTGGCCAACAAGCAAAAGTCCTCCTCGAAAGTCAAGGCCATTCCCGCGGCCTCCGCCTCCATCATGGTGGCTGCGGAGGCCAACTTTGATGGGGCTGGGCCTAATGCGGACGAGGTGGCGAAGCTGTGGACGGAAGTGGCCCGCCTGACGTCCGCCATGGAGACTCTCCAGAAGGAGAATGAGAAGCTCCGCGCAGACCTGGCCAGTCTACATGAGCCTGCCTCTCGCGCGGCGCCCCAGACGCAGCGCCCAAGCCAGCCCGTGCCGGTGGAGAACCAGGTTCTGAACCTGGTCCGGCAGGAGCTGGCTGCCTTCCAGCACCGGTTCTCCGTGCTGGAGGGCATCGTCCTGCGCCCCCCCCTAGGGGCAAACAAGACGGCGGCGAGGCCGGCAACGGCTTCTTACGCGACGGTCACGGCTGCCGCATCCAGGCCGGGGCCGTCCAGCCAGCCCTCGGGTGGGGCTGCAGTTGCCCCTCCCCCCCCCTGAAAAGCCGGCTCCAGCAAAACCGATACCGGCTGAACCGGCTCCGGCTAAGCCGGCGACGGGAAAGAGAGGCAAGGCGAAGGCGAAAAAGGGCAAGGCGGCAGCACAGGTGATGGCTGCGCCAGCCCCAGTGCCTGCGGCGAATGAGCCAGCGCCAGCGGCAAGCCAGCTGCCGCCGCCGCCACCGCCCCCCCAGCTCCCTACACCTCCCGCGGCAGAAGCCGGTTGGCAGGTGGTCGGGGACAAACAGAAGGGGAAGAAGGCAGCCAAAAAGGCCAAAGAGCAGGAGCGGCTGCGCCAGTTCAGGGCGCGCAAGATCGCGGCTAGGCTCCGCGCCCCGAAGACCGCAGCTGTAGTGATTACACTACAGCCGGACGCGGAAAAGAAGGGCGTTACCTACCGCGATCTGCTCGCGAAGGCGAAAGAGGCGGTGGATCTCGGGGAGCTCGGGATCACTGGGGGCCTCCGGCTCAAAGTCACCCAGACGGGGGCCCGTATGCTGGAGATCCCCGGGGAATCCAGTGGCGCGACTGCGGACGCTCTGGCTGCGAAGCTCAGAGCGTCCCTGAACGCGGACGAGGCCCGAGTGTCCAGGCCCGTCAGATGCGCAGACCTGCGCATCTGGACGACTCGGTATCGGAGCCCAGACCTCTGAGGTGCTACCGCTGTCTCGTGGGGCATCACGTATCAGTGAAATGCGCCTCGGAGGTTGACCGCAGTGGCCTCTGCTTCCGCTGCTGTCAGCCCGGATACATATCGGCGACCTGCTGCGCCACGCCGCACTGTGATGCGTGTGTGGCGACCGGTAAGCCAGCCAATCACTGGGCCGGAAGCAGGGCCTGCGTGTCACCCGCCAAGGCCAAGGCCGCGGGTAGGGGAGGGCCCTCCTCCGCCGCCACCGCCTCTATGGCCACCGCCGCAGCTGCAACTACCGCCGCCGCCGCTGTCACTGTCGCCGCCGCCGCCGCCGCGACACCGACGCCTGCAGAGGGGCGCCCCGTGGAGGAAGCTGAAATGGAATGCCTATAACGGCCCCATTAAGCTTCCTCCAGGCGAATATCAACCACTGCGCCTGCGCTCAGGATCTGTTGCTCCAGAGCATGGCGCAGTGGTCGATTAACATCGCTGTGGTCGCTGAGCCGTATTTTGTCTGGCCTAGGAAGGACTGGGTGGCGGACCTTAACGGCTCAGTGGCCATCATTTCTTCGGCCGCCGCCGGTACCCCGACCCTTGAAGGTGTCAGGAGGGGTCAGGGGTGCGTAGCAGCACGGTTCGGGGAGTTCATCGTTGTGGGGGTGTACTTCTCCCCGAACCGATCTCTCGCCGAGCTCCACATCTCTCTTGCAGAGCTGAGAGCAGTCGTCGTCGGAAGCTATCCCCTCCCCGTGCTTGTCCTCGGGGACTTCAATGCCAAGAACTTGGCTTGGGGTTCTCGTCGTACAGATGTGCGGGGTAGGATGGTGGAAGACTGGGCTCTGGAGACAGGCCTGGTCGTCCTAAATCGGGGTTCTGTCCCCACGTGTGTGCGGATGCGGGGCGAGTCGGTGGTGGACATTTCGTTCGCTAGCCCCGCTCTGTCGCCGCGTGCCATTGACTGGCGAGTCATGGAGGGGGTGGAGACCTACTCCGACCACCGGTACATCCGGTTTGACGTCTCCACCCAGCCCTCGAGCGCGCCAGTCCAACAGGCCCCGAGTGGTCCGCGTTGGGCGCTGAAGCAGCTGGACCGGGAGCTCCTCCTGGAAGCCTCGATCGTGCAGGCCTGGGTGTCATCACCGGATAGGCCTGCCGACGTCAATGATGAGGCAGGGTGGTTCCAGGAGGCCATGTCCGAGATATGTGACGTGGCAATGCCCCGCGTCCGGCCAGGAAGCGCCCGGCGTCAGGTGTATTGGTGGTCGCGTGAGCTGACGTCTCTGCGCGAGGCGTGTGTCGCCGCGCGGCACCTGTACGCCAGGCATCGCAGGCTCCGCATTCGTCCACCGAATGCGGCAGCCATTGAGGCGGAGCTGTACGAGGGATACAGAGCGGCGAAGACCGCCCTCCGGGAGGCTGTCATGCGGGCCCGGGATCGGGCCCGTGAGGAGATGCTGGAGACTCTCGACAGAGATCCGTGGGGGCGCCCTTACAAGATGGTGCGGGATAAACTCCGCACCTGGGCCCCCCCGCTGACGCAGAGTCTCCGGCCTCAGCTCGTGGAGGACGTGGTGAGCGCTCTGTTTCCTGCGCGAGGGAACATCCGGCCCCGCCTATGGCTCCGCCACCTGCGGTGCCGGAAGCGGACCACCAGGACGACGACGACGGCATCCCGGAAGGGACCGGGGTAGACCTGAGAGTGGCGGTACGTAGGCTCAAGGCCAGGAATACCGCCCCAGGACCCGATGGCTTGCCTGACAAAGCCTGGGTCCTGGCCTCGGAGGCTCTCGGGCCCCGACTGGAGGGGCTCCTAAGCGCATGCTTGGAGAGAGGCCAATTCCCGCTTCGTTGGAAGACGGGGAAGCTGGTCCTCATTCGGAAGCCGGGGCGCCCTGCGGACTCTCCGTCCGCATACCGGCCCGTGGTGCTGCTCGACGAGGTGGGCAAGCTCTTTGAAAGAGTCATTGCAAACCGCCTCGCCGAGCACCTTGCGGGGACGGGGCCGGATCTTGCGGAACACCAGTTTGGTTTCCGCAAGAGGAGCTCTACGGTGGACGCCATCATGCAAGTGAGAGCCCTCACGACGGGGGATGCAGTGGCCAGGGGGGGGGGTTGTTTTGGCGGTGTCTCTCGACATCGCCAACGCCTTCAACTCCATGCCCTGGAGCTGCATTAGGGAGGCACTCCGGTATTACCGGGTGCCGACCTATCTCCGTCGTATAGTCGGGGACTATCTGACGGATAGGGCCGTCATCTACCCCGGTCGCAACGGTGAGTGGAACCGGCGAGAGATGTCGTGCGGTGTCCCACAAGGTTCGGTTCTGGGGCCGCCCCTGTGGAACATCGGTTACGACTGGGTGCTGCGCGCTGACCTCCCTACCGGCGTCAGCGTAGTTTGCTACGCTGACGACACGCTGGTACTGGCACAGGGGGGGTCGTACGAGGCGGCGGCGGAAAATATGACACGCGGGGTTGTGATAGTCGTTGAGAGGATCCGGCAGCTGGGTCTTGAGGTGGCTCTGCACAAGTCCGAGGCCATGCACTTCCATGGTCCTCGGAACAGGCTACCACCGGGATCCTCAGCGATGGTAGGAGGGGTATCCATCGGCGTCGAGTCGACGTTGAAGTACCTAGGAATCGTCCTCGACGGCCGATGGAACTTCGTTGAGCACTTCCGACGTTTGGCTCCCAAACTGGAACGGACCGGGGCTGCCTTCAGGCGGCTCCTGCCGAACCTGGGGGGGCCAAACGCCTCCTGCCGGAGGCTCTACGCGGGGATTGTGCGGTCCATGGCCCTTTACGGGGCCCCGGTGTGGGCGCGTGGTTTGGCGCGGCTTGCCGTTCACCACCTGAACGCGCCCCAAAAGGTGGTTGCCGTAAGAATGGCTCGCGGCTACCGCACGATCTCCCGCGAGGCAGCGTGCCTCCTTGCCGGATTGCCGCCATGGGATCTGGAGGCGATAGTCCTCGCGCGCCTTCACGAATGGCGCGCGGAGGCACTATGCCGGGGGGAAACCCCGCTGCCGCAGCAAGTTGTCGTGCAGCGGACAGACTTCCGGCATGATCTCAATTGCGACATGGAGAGAGCGACTGTCGCAACCCCGTGCTGGGCACGCCACTATAGCGGCGATAAGACCCCTCTTTGAGGAGTGGCTTGAGAGATGCCACGGCGTCCTCACCTTCCGCCTGACGCAGGTCCTCACTGGACACGGTATGTTCGGGAGGTTCCTGCACCGAATCGGGCGGGAGGAAACGCCCGGGTGCTCCCACTGCGAGGATCGACCGGAGGACACGGTGGAGCACACCGTGGAGGTGTGCCCTGCCTGTGCGGAGCACCGCCGTGTCCTCGTAGCGGCGATAGGCGGCGGCGACCTCTCGCGTCCGGCCCTGGTCGAAGCCATGGTCCGGAGCGAGACGGAATGGGATGCCGTCACCACCTTCTGCGAAGCAGTGATGCTAGCGAAGGAGGTGGCGGAGCGGGAGAAGGAGAGAGCAGCAGCTTTCCTTCCCGGCCGCCGCGGGAGACGCCCCGGGCGTCGGGGGCTACGTCGTGGCCCCCGGCCACCGTAGGCGCGGGCCTGTGGACGGCGAGCAATGGGTAGCTCGCCGTCCGTCCGTCTAACGACGACAGGCCATGTCGACGGCGCTTTTTGTTCCACGCGCGCCTCAAAGAGCTGTCAGCAGCGTGAAGGGGCCCGCAAGGGCCGACGCCTGCCGGGGCTGCGGGCTGTTCGAAAGAGATACCGCGGCTCCGGAACGTAAGGGCACTGAAGGAACACGGATGGTTTTTAGTCAGTAAAAGTCTGACACTCCCTTCCGCTCCACCCAGAGCGAAAGGCGTCATTTGATGATTTTCCATCCGCAAAAAAAAAAAAAGGCAGTGTGCCAGCATGAAATACTGTCCCGCTCTGCTGAGCACGCCAAGCTTTTTAGAGGCCAATTTGGCCTTCTCTTCCAAGTGACCACGAAACTGCACGTCACTCGATATGTCGACTCTGAGAATACCGATACTGGCTGAGGCAAGAAGGGGAGTGCCTTGAAACTGAGGAGATACGACAAAGGGGTTCTTTTTAGCGGTAAACGCGCAAACTTGTGTCTTCTGAGGATTAAACTGGACTAGATTTAGTCGCCCCCAATCCGAGACTTTATCCAGCAAAGACTCGACTTCAGACACAAGTTTGTTCCGGTACTCGGCGACGTTTTCCCGAGAAATATTGGCCCGGCCGGTGTATAGAGCATCACCAGTGCTGTCATCCGCATAGCAATGAATGTTACCAGTTAGCAACATATCATTGATATGCAGAAGAAACAGCGTTGGTGATAGCACACAGCCTTGTGGAACACCAGCGTTAATAGGCTTGTAGTCAGAATATGCACCGTCTACAACGACCTTGATGCTCCGATCTGCAAGAAAGCTGGTGATCCAATTGTACAATTTCTCGGGAAGCCCATAGGAAGGGAGCTTCGAAAGAAGCGCTTTGTGCCAAACCCGATCGAAGGCCTTCGCAATATCCAGACTAACGGCCAACGCCTCCCCCTTGGACTCAACTGCCTCCGCCCACCTATGGGTCAGGTAGACCAGAAGATCACCAGCTGATCGACACCGACGAAAACCGTATTGGCGGTCACTAATCAGCTGGTGATCCTCAAGGTACCGGATGAGCTGGCAGTTAATAATGGATTCCATTATTTTGGAGAACAAGGAGGTGATCGCGATAGGCCTATAGTTGGACGGGTCTGAGCGGTCGCCTTTTTTAGGGATCGGGTGGACAAAAGCTGTCTTCCATGAATTCGGGACTACGCCTTGGGAGTAGGAGTACCGGAAAAGACGCGTTAGGACCGGTGCCAACTCCGGAGCACACGTCCTCAGCACAATTGGGGGGATTCCGTCAGGCCCACTCGACTTCTGGATGTCCAGGGAGAGAAGTGCTTTGCGAACTGAGCGCTGTGAGAATAGCACATCCGGCATGGAGCACTCACACCGCGGGATGGTCGACGGTATTTTCCCCCCGTCATCAAGAGTCGAGTTGGACGCAAAAAGGATGCCTAAAAGGTCGGCTTTGTCTTTTGCGTCTTGGGCCAGTGAGTCGTCCTCCCTGTGCAGAGATGGTAGTGATGGCTTACAGAAATTCCCTTGGACAGCCTTGGCGAGCGACCAGAATGCACGGGTTCCCGAAGGAAGGCGAACTAGTTTCTCGCCAATTCTGCCTATGTGCTCTGACTTTGCCTTGGCAATAACTCTTTTGAAGGACCTGGAGGCGAAGTTATACTTCCTTTTAAGTGTGCTGGTGTTTATGTAAACACCAGCACACTTAAAAGGAAGTATCCCGGAAATATCCCGAGTCACCGAAGCCGCAGCCCAGGCTTGATAACACTCCTGCTTACTGCGCAATGCAGTCTTACAGGAGCGACCAAACCAAGGCTGAGATCTGCCTCCGATGGGTACCACAGATGATGGAATAAATAGTTCCATTCCCTGTAGCACCACATCAGTGACAGAGTCAGCAACAGCGCTGGGATCATCCGGCGAGAAGCAAACCCGCCCCCATGGGTAGGATGAAAAGAAAGACCGCATTCCATCCCAATCCGCCGACCTGTAATGCCAAACACGGCGGCAACCTGCAGAACGCAACCGCGAAGGGAGCGTGAGTGGCACCATACTTTCTTTGTTCTTTGTCTTTCAAAAACACTAGGGGTGTGCAACAACATCTTTTCGATTCAGGGGTCCCTTTGCGAAATATTTAGTGTATAATTTAAAGTGGTATTTTTCATTACAGTCGTGTGCCCGCCCACCCCCCTTATATAGTAGGAGGGAGGGGGGTCGTAACACATATATATATATGTTAGCCGTGGTAACTCAGATGGTTAGCGCTCGCTGTAAGTTTCACAGTACTCGAGCAACCCGGGTTCGATCCCCGCTGGCACCAATGAAATTGTTAATTGCAATTTTAAGTGCTGATTTACCACGTGCTCGGCGGTGAAGAAAAACATCGTGAGGAAACCTGCACGTCTGAGAAATAACAAAAAAAAATATTTTGAAGACATGTGAAGTTCGCCAACACGCAATGGGGCAGCGCGGCGGACACTACCTAGCCCTAAAACCCTCTCAGAAATGAGAGAAGGCCTGTGCCCAGCAGTGGGATATAAATAGGCTGCAATTTTACTTTACTTTACTTTTATATATATATATATATATATATATATCATCATCATTACAGCCCTTCACAAGTCCACTGCTGAACATAGGCCTCCCCCAAAGAATGCCAAAAAGCACGGTCCTGAGCCACCTGCATCCATCGACTTCCTGCATGTCTTACCAGGTCGTCACTCCATCTCTTGGGGGGACGCCCTACACTTCGCCTACCGGTACGAGGCTGCCACTCGAGAACCTTTCTTCCCCATCGGTTGTCGGTTCTTCGAGCTATATGGCCGGCCCACTGCCACTTCAGCTTACTAATCCGTTGGGCTATGTCGGTCACTCTAGTTCTACTGCGGATATCCTCATTCCTAAGTTTATCACGCAGAGAAACTCCGAGCATAGCCCTCTCCATAGCTCGCTGAGCGACCTTGAGCTTCCTCATACGGCTAGCAGTGAAGGACCACGTCTCAGTTCCGTAAGTCATCACTGGCAACACGCACTGGTTGTACAATTTCGTTTTAAGGTTTTGAGGTATGTCTGACGAGAAGATGTGTCGTAGCTTCCCGAACGCTGCCCAGCCGAGTTGAATCCGTCTATTGACCTCTCGGTCGAAGTTGGACCTAGTACCTAGTCGGACTATTTGTCCCAGGTAAACATACTCGTCAACAACTTCGAGCTTAGTGCTCCCAACAACTACCGGCATAGGTGTGACATGGACATTAAACATGACCTTTGTTTTGTCCATGTTCATCTTAAGACCTATCCGTTGGGAAACACTATTGAGGTCATTGAGCATAGTGCTTAGGTCCTCCAGCGATTCTGCCATAAGGACTATATCGTCGGCAAATCGAAGGTGAGTGATGTACTCGCCATTGATGTTGATACCGTATCCTTTCCAGTCCAGAAGCTTGAAAACGTCTTCCAATGCAGCGGTGAAGAGTTTCGGGGATATGACGTCACCCTGTCTTACACCTCTCTGCAATTGGATAGGTTTCGTACTCTGGTTCTGTACGCGGATAGCCATCGTAGCCCTACTGTACAAGCACTTCAACACTTCGATATACCGAATGTCAACTTAGCGCCGCTGAAGGGACTGCAGCACCGCACAAATTTCGACGGAATCAAAGGCTTTCTCATAGTTCACATACGCCAGACATAGTGGCCAATTGTACTGCTCGGACTTCTGTACAATTTCTGTGCAAGTGTATGTATGTGTGCTTTAGCACCATAGACCACATACGTCTATGGTGCTAAAGCCCTTTCGGAAACCGGCTTGTTCGGGAGGCTGGAAGTCGTCTAGTCTGCGCGCGAGACGATTCGTAATGACTCTCGAAAACAGCACGTAGACGCGGCTCAGAAGGGAAATCGGTCTGTAGTTCTTCAAGAGAGCGTTGTCACCTTTCTTGAAGAACAAGACCACCGCACTTCTGCTCCACGCCTCCGGTGTAATGCCACCATGCAGTACGGAATTAAAGAGCTTCTGAAGGACTTCAAGTACCGGTCTTTCACCCGCTTTCAGAAGCTCCGCTGTAATTCCATCCTCGCCTGGGGCCTTACCGTTTTTAAGGTGCTGGAGAGCCATCCTAATCTCGCTCAGACTGACATCCGGGATATCTTCGGAATAGTGTCGGATGAGACTCGCTCTTGGATCGTTACTCACACTTGCGTGTGGCTCCAACGATGATGTGTACAGCTGCCCATAGAACCTCTCAATCTCACTCAAAATCTCAGGTGTCCCGGAAACGATGCTGCTACATTCTGTCTTCAGCTTTGACAGTTGGCTCTTTCTGGCAGACAGATCTCTGGCAAAGACTTTGGAGCCTTGGTTCCGCTCGATCGCTTCTTTAATACGAGCTGTATTGAAGTTGCGTAAGTCCCGCCGCATGCATTTGGAGATCTGTCTGTTCAGTTGCCTGTATGCTGTTAAATCTGTTGAAGAATGTAGCTTCATCTCCCGCCTAACAGCCTTGAGATTAAGAGTGTGATCGGAGAGTTTTTGTGTTCTTCTGCGGCGGGTCTTGCAGAACTTAGCTCCGACCGCATGGACAGTTTCCACGAGCTTGTCATTCAAATCGTCCACTTCATTACAGTCTTCTAGACACTAAATGGAACTGCCAACAATGTCGCAGTAAGCTACCAAAAACAGGTAATTCGAATACTCCTGTACGTATAACTAATCATCCCATTGCTTCTAAGGAAGATTCCATCCTGAGTCCTAGTGAGGAGAGTAATGTTACTACGAGAATAAAAAATAAATGTTCCAAGTCTGGTAACAGCGATTCTTGTGTAACTGAGGAGAGGTTGCGCATGATTATAAAACAGGAAATTACTGACACTATTAAATCTCTAGTATCCGAGCACCTAGCGAACTTAAACCTTCAAGTATCTGGGTTTCAAGAGTCCCTGTCATTTATAAGCAAACAATACGATGATCTTATGCAGTCTGTTAACGAGAAATCAGAAACAATCAATAGACTGGTTTCAAAGAACGAAAAATTAACAACACAGGTTAAAAACCTGACGGACAGACTGGGGCAGATAGAGCGAAATATGCGCGTTTGTAACGTGGAAATTACAGGTATTCCCGAACACAAGTCAGAGAACCTCCTGAGCACTGTTGAACAACTTGGTAGAATTGTCGAGAGTCCTATTGCTGAATCTGATATATTACATGTAACAAGAATTGCCAAATTAAACAAGGAGAGCAATCGTCCTCGTTCTGTCATCGTAAAGCTTCGCAGTCAGCGACACCGCGATGAATTATTGGCTGCAGTGACACGATTCAACAAAAAGAACAAGGATAATAAGCTCAACACCGAGCATCTTGGACTCGGAGGACGTCGCGAGCCCGTATTCGTATCTGAACACCTGACGCCCACAAATAAACATTTACATGCTGCAGCCCGAAAGAAAGCCAAGGAGGCTGGGTTCATGTTTGTGTGGATACGGGATGGAAGAATTCTTGCGAGGAAAAACGAACAAAGTCATGCTATTTATATTAAAGACGACGAAAGCTTAAAGTTATTGCTTTAAAATTAGCCAAGTAGTAGTCAATAGTAATTTTTGCCACAATGCCTGTAAATATTTATTATCAAAATGTGCGGGGCTTAAGAACTAAAACAGAGGATGTCTTTAAAAATATTCTGATTAATAACTACAACGTAATTGTATTTACTGAAACGTGGCTCAATAGCAATATAACGAACTTAGAAATTATAGATAAGCGTTATATTGTTTATAGGAGAGATCGATTGTGCTCAGAAACTACTAAAAAAGACGGAGGGGGGGTTTTAGTCGCTGTTTCTAGGGATATACCGTCTTTCAGACATTCAAGCTGGGAGAGCGATGCGGAGGATCTATGGGTCTCAATTGATATAAAAACAAATAACATTGTTACCAAAATACTAATTTGTGTGGTATACCTTCCTCCACCAGTAAACCTGGAAAGCCTTACTCGGTTTTTAGAGCATACTAACGATATTTTGGACAAAGCTGATCAAGTTATAATGTTGGGAGACTTCAACATGGGCTTCATTGGTTGGTCTCGCAGTGTGGACGGTGTTTCATGCAGTGCATTTAATTATGATTCACCACAGGGTCTGGCACTCACTGATTTCATGGCGCTAAATAATATTACACAAATGAACCCTATTCCTAACGAGGATGGCAGAGTGCTGGACCTTGTTCTAACCAACTGTGTTCCTTTAGAGGTTTCTAACTCCTTAAATGTTATAAGTAAAATTGACCGAAAGCATCCTCCGTTATTGATTACTGTACCGGAACTAAAACCGAACTTACTTAAACCAGCCCAAAAACCTCGACACAACTTTTTCAAAGCGAACTATGATCTAATCTTGGCTCATCTTAGGGAAATTAATTGGTCACAACAGTTCGATAGGTGTCAAAACGTTAACGAGATGACCACAGTATTTTACCGTATTTTAAACAATGCCGTGAAAACATACGTCCCTATTTTGAAGCCAAAAAAAAGCAGGTTCCCCTCATGGTTTAGCAGGTCTCTGATCAGAATAATCTTGGAAAAAGAAAGCAAGAGAAAAAAATTTGTGAAATACAAAAATCCACGCGATAGGTTGGAGTATGAATTACTTCGTGAGCGAAGTAAGAAAATAATAGACGCATGCCTACAAAGTTATAAAAAACGGGTCGAGGGTAATATTGTCAGGAATCCTAAATATTTCTGGAACTATATTAAGGATAGGCGAGGTGGTGAAACTACTATACCTGCCGAAATGAGCCTTGATGACGAAATTGCAAACACTGGTACAAAAATTGCAGAACTATTTGCTAAAAATTTTTCATCAGTGTTTAGTAACACAGTATTACCTGATAGCCTAGAGTCCGCAGTGCACGGTTTGCCATATTTGAGTGTAATTAGATTCAGTGAACATGAAATTAAACGTGCCATTAAAAAACTAGATATCTTCAAGGGTGCCGGTCCGGATGAGATCCCTCCTGTTTTTGTAAAGCGCTGCGGTCCTACTCTTACTCTGCCACTGTCACTTCTTTTCAATAGATCTTTGCATGACGGGGTATTTCCTGAATTGTGGAAAAAAGCTAAGATCGTTCCAGTGTACAAGAAGGGTGACAGCAGTGACATCAAAAACTACCGTCCTATATCCATACTTTCTTGTATACCTAAGCTGTTTGAATCCCTTGTTTGCCCAATTGTCACGCGCCACTTGGAAAGTCGGATGTCAGAATTTCAACATGGGTTTCGAAAAGGACGTTCTATCAAAACGAACTTGGTGTCATTTATGTCCTATCTAAGTAAAGAAATAGATAGACGCCAACAAGTAGACTGTATATACATGGATTTCTCGAGCGCTTTTGATAAGGTGTGTCACTCGCTTCTTATACATAAATTGAGCGGGTCTGGTATTGGTGGGACCTTACTGGAATGGTTTAATTCATACCTAGCAAAAAGACTTCAGTTTGTGGTGCTGAACGGTCACATATCACATGAGTATGTTGCATGTTCAGGAGTACCACAGGGATCCCACTTAGGCCCTGTTCTCTTCTCGGTGTTTATAAATGACATTACCTCATCTATAAATTACTGTAAATACTCACTTTTTGCCGATGATTTAAAAATATTCAAAACCGTTACTTCAAATAATGATGTGGAGCTCATCCAAGCTGATCTCGATGGAATAAATATGTGGTGCAAATTGAACGGCATGATTATTAATACGAAGAAATCTTACCACATTAAGTACACAAAGAAAAAAGTTCAATTGCCATCATCGTATAAATTAGAGCTAGATACGTTACAGGAGGTTAAGGAGATTCGAGATTTGGGCGTAACAATGGACACGAAATTGAAATTCAAAGTGCACATGGACAAAACTGTAAAAGAAGCGGCCAGGATGTTAGGTTTCCTTAAAAGAAATACCAAAGGATTTGTTTCTCCTCAAACCAAAATAATCCTTTATAACTCACTGGTTCGCAGCAAACTAGAATTTGCATCAGTTGTGTGGAGTCCCCAATACGCGGCACCATCTCAACGTCTGGAGAGACTACAAAGATCCTTTACTAGATACCTGACATATCACACTTCCGGCATCTCTCATAAGGCCACCTATGACTTGCGGCTGAAACACTTTAAAATGATGTCACTTTATAATCGCCGCATAATATTAGATATAACATTCCTCAAAAAGCTGTTGTCAGGACAGATGGCATGCAGTGAATTGCTTAATGAAATAAATTTCAAAATCCCGTACAGATATCCACGAAATCCTCTCACTAACATACTTGTTGTACCAGTAAGTAGAACAAATGCTCTAAAACATTCTCCATTATCAAGGATGTGTTCTGAGTACAATCGATTTTCCGCGTCCATTAAAGATTTTGATATTTTTCATGACTCAGTGACAAATCTGAAAAAAAAGCTTACCGCACATTTTTGTTGGTAAATTAGATTTGTAATTTAATATTTATGCTACTAAAATTCTTCTTTTTGTTATACTTTTGATTTTTGATTTTTGATTTTTACTTATTAATTTGCTGCAACTCAAAATTTGTAAATTGAAATTTATTTTGAACTTAAATTAATTTAATGTCTTCTAATGAGAGTGATGTATGCACCAGTAATTGGCATGCATACCAAACTATTTATAAGACGAAGATTATTGTAATGTTTTGTATGTTATGCTGTTGGTGTGTCAATAAATAAATAAATAAATAAATAAATAAATAGACACTGAAAACGGTTTTGTAACTCGAGCTGAAAGGTTTCGGGACTTTGGAATAGAGCACGAGGGGGACGGAGCGTTGACTTCATTAGACGAGACCTCTCCAACTTAACGTTTAGGTTCAGTGTGCCTCTAACCATTCGGTGATCGCTACCAGTTTTCACCCTCGCGATCACGGAGACATCACTGAACAGTTGTCGTCTGGTCGTCATAATGAAGTCAATCTCATTTTTTGTCGAACCGTCGGGGCTCGATAAGGTTCACTTCCTATGGGGCCGCTTCTGGAAGAAAGAGTTCATCATAAAGAGTCCCTCTTTCTCCATGAAGTCGGCCAGCTGCTGGCCCCTTGGGTTCCGTTGCCCTATTCCAAATTTCCCTACTTTCAGCTCACCGTTCTCTCTTGTGCCTAGTTTTGCATTGAAGTCTCCCATTAACACCGTATATTGGGTTTTGGAGGAATGCATGGCTCTAGAGATATCCTCATACATTTCCTCCACCTCCTCATCGGGGTGTGCCGAGGTTGGTGCGTAAACCTGTATGACCTTCAGCGAATACCGTTTGGTGATTCTGAGTATAAGGTACGCAACCCTCGTCGACACACTCCCGATCTTTACAACGTTGTTAACGAGAGACTTGTGGACGATAAATCCGACACCTCCTTGGGACAGATGGTCGCCCTCCCGGTGATAGAGCAAGTTGCCGGATTCGAGGATTACCGTGTCCTCCCCCTCTCTTCGGACTTCGGATAATCCTATAATATGCCAGCGCAACTTGTCTATCTCTTCTTCCAGCTCCACAATCTTCTCGTCAGTCCTCAGGGTGCGTGCGTTGTACGTTGCCAGGTCGAGTCGTCTAAGGTGGCAACCGAACCTCCACCGGAGATTCTTAGCACCCCCTGCCCCGCCGTTACCATGGTCGCCACCGTAGCCAGGAATAGCGGGGCCGCCGGGGACTGGGGGCCGTTTCTTTGTTACTGTCATTCATAGGGGGGTATTTGCCATAGTTGCCACGCTTGGCGAGCGGGTTGGCAACCGCAGTTTTTTTATTGTAATTTGGCTATTATCAGGAAGATGCTGCTGCCCATCTCCTGCCTGTTTCCCTTTGTCGCCTTTTACGACACCCACGGGAGGATATGGGGTAGTGGATATTCTTGACCGCCACTACACGGCAACTCTGCATATACTATATATATATAATATGTTACGGCCTACAGCTGCTCCAGCAAGGGTCGAATCTTCCGGGCCCATGAAGATTCCACGAGCAGCCGCAGGTCGGGCCCGAAATGGCCACATGGAAGAATTTCTAACACTAAGCTGTATGGGAGAATGCTAGAAACACATATTACGTACCAGTATCAGAAGCTAACTTCGCACAAATGGCTCAGTCAGGCCGTGAGTGGGTGTAAGGTGAATGGCAAGTAGTGTTCAGTGATGTGTAAATGTGTGACTCCTTAGGCGAACAGCAGCGGCTGAGTTCCAGGCTGCCCCAAAACGCTGCATCGCTCCAGCAGGCTCCACCGCTGGACAATTTCTTTCTTCCTTTTCACTATTTCAGTGTATTAGCTTCATTGTACATTTAATTAACTTAAACTCGACATTAAATTACTTAAATTCGACACTCAATGAAAGAATCCCGAATTCTCTTGTCACAAAATTATAAATAAGGAATTAAAGCGATCTCTTAATGAGTCATACGATTCAGCGTTAAACACAACTAAGTTCCTTCATTTGACACCAAAACACCACGTCGCGAAAAGATTCAAAATACGCCTCGTTGACACGTAATCTTACAAGCCAATACACACAACAAAGGGCACTT